ATGGGCAGGGCTGGGGCGGGGGCCTACTGGTAGACCCAGCGGGCTGTGGGCGGGACTCCAGCCTGTGTGCGGGCCTCACCGGCACGTGGGCCCGCTCCTCTCCAGGAGGCACTGGCCCTGATTACAGTCCATGGCGCCCGGTACGCCTGACGTGCAGTTGGTGACGCAGCGGAGCCTGTTCTCCTCCACCAAGGGGAAGTAAAAATCCTCATACCCCTGGGCAGCGGCTCGGCGGCAGATGCCTGGGGTGGGGGTAAGGGGCAGACAGACAGCGACGTCACCCACTCTACTCAGGGGCCTGGTTATAATGATTCTGAAAATTGTTATATTTCCAAGAGTGGGGTGTCGTGGGGTAGACCCTGGGATTAGATGAGGGAGGGCAGTCCCCCAGGATCCCACCCTCTTCTCACCTTCTCTGCTGCTCCAGGACGGGCAGTACTGCCCAGGCCACATCACTTGCCTCCCCAAAAGGTCTCCCCATCCTCCCCAGGGAATTCCAATGGGCAGAAGTCCCTGGGGGAGGGGTCATGGCTTCCTGGGGCCACTTAGGCCTTTCCTCACCTTCCACAGTTAGCTCCGTCCTGGTGTTGTTGTTCACCTTGATGGAGTCAGGCTTAAAACACAGGGCTGGGGGACACAAGCACAAGTGGAATTGGGTAGGAGAAGTCAAGGATTCAGGGCCAGGGAAGCAGGGCAAACACAGGGAAGGGCAGCAAGGGCTTTGTCGGTAAGAGGAATGTATGGATGGGCTTCACGGGAAGAATTATTTGGCCTCCCTCATGTCTCTGGAATAATCAGGGGTCCTCAGGCATCCTGGAAACCTTAAGAACTGTCAAGGGGTCTCTACCCAGCACCCAACTTCTGGCAAGTTCCTTCTTAGCCCCATTCTTGACCCAGTTGGCTGTGGGCCTGTGTCCCTTCTCAAAACCTGCTGGAGGTACCACAGGGTTGGCACCTGAGCCCAGGAGGCCCCTGTCTGAGCTGGAGCAGACTGGGATGGTGGTTGTGACCCTGACCCCTCCCTCTAGCCCAAGGCCCCCAGCCTCAACTCACTGTCGTTCTGGCAGCTGTCCTGATCCTGGGTGACATTCTGGAGTTCCTCCTTCAGGACTGTCTTCACCTTCTCATACTCGTTCTCCAGCTGGACACTGAAGGGCAACTCCAGCAGAACCAGATAGTCCACCACGATGCTGCCATTCCTGAGGGAACCAAGGGGGTCAGGGAATCTTAAAAGGTGGCCAGGCCTGAGGCACAACGATCCTTAGTAGGACACCTCTAGGACAAACCATGGGTGCACAGGTGTTGGGAGGAAGGGGAGCAGAGGCAATGAGTTGGAATTCCCGACAGCTCAGAGGAGCTGCCAGCATCCCTGAGGTGATCAGCCTAGGAAGGCAGGACAAGGAATGATGGCCATTCTCTTGCATTGCCTCAAGCCATTACCAAACCAGGCCATCCTGGGCGCAGTATCTTGCTCATGCTGACCCACCCAGCAGACCAGGTGCCAGCCAGAGACAGACCAGCTACAGTCCAGATACTAGGCTTCCCACCAACCCTCAGGCACCACTCCCTACATGTCCCATGCAATCCCTCTCCTTCCAATACACTTAAAAAGTAGGGATGGCGCCCAGCCACAGTGGCTCAGTGGTTGAGGTCACAGTTCGATTCCTGGTCAGGGCACATGCACGAGTTGTGGGCTCAATCCCCAGTGTGGGGTGTGCAGAAGGCAGCCAATCAATGACTCTCTCTCATCATTGATGATTCTATCTCTCCCTCTCTGAAATAAATTTAAAAAAATATGTTTATAAAAAAAAGGTAGGGATGGCATCCCTCTTACAGAGAAATTGCCCCAGAAAATTATCTCAAAAAATATGCCATGGAGTAATTCCCTTGCATACTCTTTTCGTCCTTCTCTTTATGAAATTTGATGATTCCAAAAGCAAGTGATGGCTTTTCCAGCCTTTCTTCACACACCACCCCCTCCCCGCCCCCAGCACTACCTCCACAGCCCCAGAAGAGTCTCCTACCTCAGGGACAGGATCTCCACATCCTTGAACCCCTGCACGTTTTGGTAAACCTTCTGCATCTGAAATGCCAAGGGTCCCTGGGCTCACATTTGAACCACCAGACCTAAGATCACCAGGGGCCCAAGCTGAGCTCCAGGTGAGAACCCATGAGTCCCCTCCTATTTCCCCTCACCTGATGCTTGAAGGTGTTGCTGAAATCCATGTAGGCCTTGGAAGTGTTATCATGGAGTTCCGGGGAGAATTCCTTTTGGACAGACACCTCCATGCCCACTTCAGCGTCCACTGTCTCTGTACACAGCAAGCCCTTTTCTTGTCATTTGATCTTCCACTCCTGTCTGACATCATCACCCCAACCCAGAGGCTCCTCCCATGGCCCCTCTCCATGTTCCCTGAGGACTAACTGAATAGCAGGAGAGAGAGAGAGGTAAGAATTCTGAGATGAGTTTTCCTGAGATGGGAGAAAGAATGAAGTCAGAATGCACAGAAGTCAAGCCTGTGGTCTCTCCCTTGTCTGCCCCAATGGGAGGCAGAATAATGGCCCCCAAAGATGCCTATGTCCTAATGCCAAGAACCTGTGAATATGTTATGCTACATGGCAAGGAGGAACCAAAGTTACAGACGTAATTAAGGTTATTAATCAGCTCACTTTAATATGTAAAAATTAACACCAATTATCCAAGGCCCAATATAATCACAAAGTCCTTAATAGTGGAAGAGGGAGCAGTGAAGGTCAGAATCAGCCAGAGGAAGATGTGAGTATGGAAAAAAGTCACAGATGTAGTGTTGCTGGCTTTGAATATGGAAAGAAGGGGCCTTGAGATAAGGAATGTGGAAGGCTCCAGAAGGTAGAACAGGCAAAGAAATGGATTCTTTGAAAAAGAATGCAGCCCTGCTGAAGCCTTAATTTTAGCCCAGCAAGACCCATGTTGGACTTCTAATCTACAGAATTATAAGATAAGAAATTTGTGTTGTTTCAGCCACAAGTTTGTGATAGTTTGTTACAACAGCAATTAAGAAACTAATATAACTCTGAGCAGCCAGGCTGGGAGGAGACCCTAGAAGGACTGTGGTCCCAGCCACTTCCTGGGGGTGAGGGTAGAGAAGAAGCATGAGATGGGATAAGGGAGGACATGGGAGAGAAGGCAGGGATGAAGGGATTGGGCAAAAGAGAATGGGTGCCTCCAGGCCAACCACAGGACTGAACCCAGGGAGAGTCAGTGGCACCTCCCAGGAGAAAGTACATAGGGCAGAACCCTGGTGACTCACCCACTTCCACCTGTTCCACGGCAAACTCACAGCGGATGCCATAGAAGGCACTGGGGCAGCGGCACTTGACGCCATCCCATTGACCTCCATTCTGGCACTTGATCTCCTTGAGCTCACAGCGGTCCCCAGAGAACCCCGGGGGGCAGAGGCAGTGGCCCTGTATCCAGGTGCCACCATTGTCACAGGTGCCTGGGCAGCACAGGAAGAAAGGGAAGTTCAGAAAAGAGCCTGACATTGGTGACACGGGAATTTAGTAGGGGAATGAGCATGTCGAACCTGCAGTGGTGGTCAATTTAGACTGTGTGGTCATCTGAGTAGAGGTTGAAGTTGTCCTGGGTGACGTATAAGTGGTGGGAGTCCGAGTGGTGGCCACCGATGTCTCTAGAGTCCTGTTGGTGGTTAGGGTTGGGTCTGTCAACTTGCTTGACGTCATCATGGCAGTTGGAAAGCTGCTGCTTGGTTTCATGGTTGGTGGGAAGCTACTGAAATTGGACACACGTGACGTGGTGCTCATCCAGGTCTCGCTGGTGGGTCTTTGTGTGCTCGTCAAAATTGTGTTAATGGGGACAGTCCCAGGGCTGGTAGAACTAGCAGCATCAGTTATAATACTGGTGGGGGCAGTTTCCTGAACTGAAGTAGAAGTGTCCATATGTGTAGGAAATACAGTTGTCATACTAGTGAAACTAGGAGGGGTGGTGGCAAACTCAGTAGTAGAAGTAAACACTGATAATGGAATGGTGGGTGTAGAAGTAACTTTACCATTAAAATCAATTTCTATGCATGGAGTAGTGGGAGAAGAAGGCACTATTGTAACTGTTATAAATTCTGGACAAGGGGTAGTGGAGGAAATAGTAAAAGTGGTGGTTGTTTTAGTAGAAGAGGTTATAGTAGAAGACACGGATGGAGAAGTTCTTGTAGTTAAAGGTGAAGAAGTAGGAAAAGCGGGGACAGAAGAACCTTTGTTTTCTGTACTGAAGGAATGTGAGGTGATAGGAGAAAGGTTAGTAGTAGTAACGGGCACAGAATTTTCACTGGTGTAAGAAGGAGAAGGGGACATTGTTATAATGGGAACTGAAGATGAGATTATGGTACTAAAGGAAGTGGTTATTGCATTTGTAGATGTACTCAATATAGGAGGAGATGATATGGTAGAAACACTTGAAGTATGCAGTGTCGTCAGAGTGGAATTTGTTCCCATGTTTGTGGACACAGTCCCTGAGGTTCCTGAAGTAGAGCCAACAATTTCACTAGAAGTGATTGTGTAAGGGGAACTGCTGGTAGAAGTACTGATTTCAGTTGTGGATGTCTGCCAGGTGCCAGAGGTAGAGGCAGGTGGGGTTGCTGTGGATGTGGGTGTGCTACCTGTGGAGGAGCTCTCTGAAGTAGTGATGCCTGGAGTAGTCTGAGTGGCAGT